AAAATCCAATCTAATCACAGATGACAGCTAAGATAGCAAAAGATCAGAAGGCCATCAGAGTTGGTACAGTACTTCCAAATATAACCCTGGGAGACCCTGAGGCTATGAATCTGATTGTTCAGGGGAATTCAACTCATTCTAAGAGAAATCACATCCTTACGTCCAGGTAGACTCCCCCATTTGAAGTAATTACCTGCTGTCTCAGACACATTTCAGCTTCTTCACCTTTAATGATTCTAAAACCTTTTTGACACCTGTTTGGAAACTCCACAACTTTTCTGGGTTTATAAATAGAAAATAGAGGTAAACTTGGATTTTATATTATGATGATGAAATTATAACTGGAAGCTTTAGAAGACTATTCTCAAAAGATTCATATAGATGTTAAATATGCTGTGCAAATGAAAACTTGAAATGCTTCATAAACCAAAAATTATGAAGTAGAGTTGAAAATTCAGGAAAATTGAAAGAGATCTTTGTACTGCTAGTTTGGACAAAATATTCCTTAAAATATGCTTGTATTAAAGTTTTGTTTGGAGTATGGTCTATTAATGATTTTTAAAATATTTACAGTTGTAACGTGTGCAATCAAGACAACATCTCTTCGTCCATGAGTCGGCTGGATTATCAGCACAGAAAATAAAATCCAAATGAGGTTAAAGATATCTCTGCTAAAAGAACCAAAGCATATCCTTTGTTTATGTCTGAAATAATGTTGCCATTGTAGCAGACCTTATATTTCTCAATGTTTGTGGTTATGTAGATTTTAAAAATTATCCATGTTTAAGAATATAAAATAGGTGATGTCCTTTGGTGGCACAAGCAAAAGCATTTTGTGTAAACCAAAATTCTTCCCCCTACCATTTTTTAAGAGTCATTTATCACCCATCCTCAGTAAAATACTACAGCTGTATAAAGAAAAAGAATGGAATGAAGGACCTTCATTTATGAAATAAAAATAACTATATGATCACAAGTATATAAGATATCTCAGTTGAACATGTTAAACTTTGAGAAAATCTCTGCATTGCCAATATAGCCAAAAATTTGACGTCACACATTTTGAGTCCCTGTATAAAGTTCCCAATATCAGGATCTGTTTCCCATGTACTATGGAATACAGTGGTGCCTCTAGTTACGAACGCCCCTCCTTACGAATTTTTCAAGATACAACCAGCTCCAGCCCCAAAAATTTACCTCTACTTGCGAACTCCGCCTCTACTTACGAACCGGATCTGCGGCCATTTTCCCGGCTGCCGCGCGGTCGCGGCTTCCTGTGGGCGAGATCGCAGTAGCAAGGAGACGTTCGGTGAG